GATCGCGCGACCTTGGCACGATCCGTAGCTGGCCGCAGGGTCGAAAACTCACGGTATACGGTTGTTGCAATTTCAGCCGGAGAAGGAGACTGCTGGTCGTCGTTAGCTGGAGGGAGAATCGAGAAGCGTGCGAGAGTAGGACGAACCGACGAAGCTCGTTTCGCAGGAAGGAGGAAGCACGAGGGAAGGGAGAAGAGGTGGAGCGGGGCTTATCGAACGGGGCCGTGTACGTGCGAGAGACAGGAACGGGCTGAAGCGACGCGCAAGGAGAGAGGGAGAAACAGAAAAGGAGAGAGAAATGGCCCCCACCCACGTCCAGGAGGAAATAGAGGGGCGCTATAAAGAGTATGCCTATAGCCCTGTACCAACGAGTTGCACTTCGACGGTGTACTATTCACCCACCCTTGGAAAATATCCCATAAAGTTCGGTGGTAGCTTACCCAAGTATCGTACGATCGGTGACCAGTGTCCTGCCGCAGAAATGACGGAGAAGGGCTCGACGTTGCTTCAGTACCTCGCCGCTGCAGCGGGTAAGTTCCAACCCTTTTTCTCAATGGCTAAACGCGGACGTTCGATCCGCGTGCCAGGACTCTCTCGGGGAGTCGCATCTATCGACGATGCCGTCCGTCGACCCGAGTTTAGCGACCCCGGAGCCGCTCGTCGTTGGCCACCTTTTCCGTTGGCAAGCGTTTCATTTTCGCACGACGCGCCGCTGTTCGAGGGATCGTGGAATTCTCGTTCGAAGATCGATGGATTTCGATGGAACGCGAAAGTACGAAATCGACGTGGTCGACGAGCGTGGAAATCTTTTACCGATAAGCAGCTCGATGATTATCTGTAATTATCAGGTGCGCGTATCGAAAGCTCGATGTTTTCAAAGGTTACTCGAATTTTCGAGCGAACGAAACGCGGTATTCGCGGTCTAGAGTTGGAAAGCAGCGAGGTATCGTGTCGTTCGTAGAATTTGACATACTCGTGGAAAAGTTTATTCGATAAATCGGACGCCGCGGAAAGAAATTTACCGCGCTAACGAGTCCGTCGAACGTCGATAATATCTGTACGACGTAAGATTTCCAAGATACGGATTAGATAAATTCGACGGACTCGATTCCACTAACGAACTACTACGAAAGCTCGATTCTACGTGTAATTCTCCGTTAATCGTCGACCGATTCGCCTTTGATCGTACAACGCTTCGAGAAGAAGAAACTTTGGCGCTTCGTGATGATTCTCCGTGGCAAGAAGAGAAAGAATCGCGATCTTCGAGTAGAGTAGAATCGAAGCGACTGCTACTTTATGAAATTAGTTCTTATCGCTCGTTCCTGAATGTTTCACCGTCGTAACGTTAAACGGCCGAATTGAATCGTAATTGACTTATTATCATGCTATACCGCGATACCACGGTGACACGATGACGGTATAACGAGTTCGCCCGTAACGCGCGTAAATTTTCTTTAGAAACGTTTCGCGTACAGGTGGCAAAACCGTTATCTTACGATCTTCGACTCCTCGCTCGATAATCGCGATTGCCGTAATTAACAAATAGCCCAAACGAAGTAACAGCGTAACGAGCAAACGATTTTCTTACTTAATCGCTGACGTTCGAACAAAACGATCGCGTAAAGTATAGCGCGTTATACGTACGAACGGACAAACAAAAGTGAATTTACGTGTTCGTGCGCAAAACAAGGAAGCGATGTAAACAGACGATCGGACGAGAGCGCGTTTTCGCTGGTCGCGTGCGTTTCGAAGCGATATTGGCTGGAAACGCGCGTGCACCGACTTTGTCGCAAGAATACGCGACGTCATGCTACGGATATATTCTTCCTCGTGTGCGTGTCTTTTTCAAAGATTCCTATTATCATTACCGCTATGGTAGCTATTAAGGGGTAGAGCCTAGCGGACGTTTACTTCTGGCTCTCGGTAGATCACGACGGCTCGTATAATTTTTCTCGATTAAAACGAACGAAACACGCTAAAATGAGAATTGAAAATTCTAGAGTTCTATTCCTCTAGGAGAAGCGCGTGTCGAATAATCCGGCGTACGTTATACCAGACAGCTAAGCAAATATGAATTTGCGATCGAGCAGGGACGAACAGTATCGCGATTCCACGACTCTCGACGTCGGACTTTTGCTTCCGTTGGAAACGACGCGTAGATCGTTCAAGAGTCCAAATTTACGAGAGTATCGCGAGACTATGCAACGTCGCGTTTATCGACAATCGGCGATATTTGTTTAAATGTTTGCCGCCACGATCCAAGTCGCCATCGAGCTATACGTAATTATAAAGTAAAATATCGGTTTCCCAACGCTTCGTTTTCTTCCCGACTACGATCGTGCGCGTAGGCGGACGTAGAGATTCCACGTAGAAATCGCATGGTCGATGCTTTAGCGAGGAATAGATTTCGCCGTCGAGTTACGTGGATCGGACCGTTGAAAACGACCAGATAACGTTGTCGGCGACAGAACGGTGGCATCCACGTGTTTCACGGACCATTTCTCGCGTTTCTATAACTCATTGTGAAAATACGTATTCGGATAGTTCACGCCGTCCAACGAACATCGTATCGTTTTCGTGTGTTCGAGCGGAAAACTTTCGCTCGAAATAATCTGCATTCCCGTGATTCATCCTACACGCCCTCCTTCTTTTATTGTACTTTGAATCGACGAATTCCACCAGCCTCTCGTAACGAGCGACGTAAAATCGGACAAACGCTCGACGATGGAGACTCGAACGAGAAACAACAACTATTGGCATTATTCCGATCCAACCGGTCCACATCGACGGTCCATAGTTTTTCGTTTCTCTTTCGCGTTCCTCTTCGCCCTTCTCTCGGTATATTTAGTGACTGTCTTTCTAAATATATCGAAATGCAATCTCTCAGGCGACGAAAAAGAAAAGAAAGAAACGGAAAGAATAAAAAGAACGGATCGAGGAAGGAAGACCTCGAATAGCACCGTACGAGTGTCAAGGAAGAAAATCGGTATGCCGTGACTGAAAATAACGCCGTTTATCTTTAACGCGGCTCTCGTAGGTGACAGGCGCGAAGGAAATAGCGTGACGCGATAAACGAAAGAAACGAAACTAGAGGAAAGAGAGGGAACGCGGCAAAGTCGGCGCTGGTTCAAAGTTGGGACAAAGTGGAAGAGAAACGCGAACACGCGGTATCGATTCGTGCGTCGATTCGACGAATATACAGGCGCGATTTGGCAAAATTTTCGAGCGCTCGGAACGATCGCAACAGAGAGCCGAATCTAGAGTAATCGCCAGTTAGAGTGTTTGAAAAATCACGAACAAAAATATCGGACGAAAGAGTCTAAACGCTTGGAGACGGCGCGATTTGTTTCGAGGTTTTACGTATCGGATGACCGAATTGTTACCAATGTTGTGACTAACGAGGATGTAGTTTGAGTTGATTGGAATCTTCAGCGGGCGTGATTCAATTTGGACGGACGCCGGATGCGAATCGTTTAATATTCGCGGCCGTTCGAGGACACGAACCTCTCCTCGCGACTGTTGCTCCCACGTAAACCCATTGTCCTGCACGCGACACTCTTCGCATTTCGTTCGACCGTATTCTCGATCACGTTCTCTCGCGTCGATCGCTCTACCGATATAAATCTCGTAAAAGGTTCGCCCCCTCCTATACCGTACGTATCGACTATCTCGTTCGCGTATAAGCGTCAAACGTGCCGAATATTTCAAAGATGAATTTCCACGTAAATCTTGCGGTCGTCCTCTCGAATATCGCTGGAAATTTTTCAGCTAAAACTAGATTTTTTAAACGGTGACGAAAGGCCGTTTTTCACGCCTGAATATTGACCTACGAAGGTTTGTCCGCCCACATCGTCCGATTTTAATGATCCGTGAGCGAGCTTTTATCCATTTTCACGAGGCTACGCCTTCGCTCCTTCTACATAGGTAGAGACGCCCTACAACGTCTTAGGGAAAATCGAATCGTTTGGGAACTGCCACGAAAGCGGTTTTTCGTTTGGTTTTTCCCGTTTTACGCATCGTCGTAACGTTGTTGCGTTGCAGCAAGGCCGCGGAGAATTCGAGAAATCGAGGCTCTCCTGCGGCGTGGTCGACGGTCGTGGCTCGCGTTTATCTCGAAGAAACGAGACGCGCGTCCTTCGTTTCGACCAAGTCGTTAAATTTCATTTCGTAATCCGCGCGTTAAAGTAATTTTTACCGCCTTCTGCAAAGATTTACGCGCCGATGTATGCGCTCGGAAAATTCGTGCCACGCGATGGTCGCCTCTCTGCATCGAACAAATCGATTCTTCGCGTCGAATAAAATCGTCGGATCGCGACGGCTAAGCTCTAAAAACCTTTTCCCTCGTCCCTGCCCACGTGCTTTTATCTTATCCGAACGGAGAGTTTTACATAACGGATTTCAAGATAATGCATTGATTATCGAAGATTAGTCGAGAGCGCGAAAACAAAAAATCGATCGGTCGACTAGAGTATTTGCGCTTTGTTCGACTAGTAACTACCGGTCGATCGTACAGGATCGATGCCAGATGTATGACGAGCTACCGCGACGATTCGTTAAAAATAATGATAGTGTCAGTTGGCTCGATAAAGACGTAATTATAGCCAGATAGTGGTCTGGTTAAAAAAGCGTGCTTGCTTGCGTAATCGTTCATCGGAATAAATACGATTCTGCTTATTAGTATACATAGCCTGCTAGTTCACCCTTATTAGCATTCGAAAAAATAGATCAATTATCTCTAAAGCGTTACGAATAATTATGATTTACTATTTCTCGAAGGTTGCAGCAAAACCGGCAAATCATCGCTACCGAATAGAAAATTTCACGAAAACGCGGTTTGCAACTTGCGAAGCGTCGAGCTTCGTTCGCAGGATCGATCTGTAAACTCCGGCGAGTTTGTCCAAGTTCTCCGGATCAGCTTCGATTCGCGCCGTATTTCCCAAATTTGCCGCCTTCGACTTTAACTAACATTAAGAAAATCGCGCGCGGTTCCAGTCGGAGGAATGCCGAAAAAAGCTCGCGAACGACAACGCATCGTGAAATCGTAATCGTAGAGCTCTTAATACAATTGCGATTATCTTCAAATCTCGAGACGATCGAGTACTTAATACGTCGAATCTTAATAGGTTGGATGGGCGAAGCATGTCCTGTCGCTTTCACCTGCTTCGCTCGTCTCTCTCACGCGACTCGAAGCTCGCTCCCTCGATGATGCCAATTGCCCGTTCGACGTGACGAATCTTACTCGACCAGAGGCGCGTATCGTGCCACGTGTATTCCAACAATTTCCTCTTTACCTTATAAATTCTTATCTCTCGTTATTGTTAAACATTCGAGTAGCGATATCTCCTTCGTGTCAAAGATCACGAACGTTTGCCACGAAACGGAATAGCTCCACGCTACGTACGTTTTCTCGAATCTCGTAACGAGACGTTCCGTTTGCAAAAATATGCTCATCCAAAAAATATGTTCATCCAATTGCCCCATATATCGCCTTAAGATATAATTACAGTCTTAAAACGCATCGATGCCACGC